CCTTTTAATTATGTTTGAAATTATGAACATTGCTCAACATCATGAAAATTAAACCTTATTTTCAATAAGCAATCCTGAAAAATATTTGGGGGTGCTTAACTTTTTCCAGGTGTATATATATCCGTATTGGCATGATAAAAATTATGAATTAAAAAATTTTTAATACTTACTCTATCAGTGTGGTCTGTAATTAACATTATATCATAACTCTTCAGATTGGTATGGTTGTTATAATCCAGAAGAGAATACATATGAGTAAAGTAAAACAAACTTTTATTTGGTGTAAAATAATAAACTTTTTTTCTTGTACAGGATCCAATCAGAAAGCCTATGATAATGACAACAGATAAATCTTTAAAGCAGGATGCATGTGAAATATTCAAACTAATTCAAACTTACATGGGTGATCGGAAAACCAAGAGTGGGCAAACAATTGATGCAGTAGCTCTGGATTTATCCATCAGAGGATGGAGTAGACAGGCACTTCGAGATGAACTTTACATCCAGATCTGCCGTCAAACAAATGATAATCCAAAGAGGTAAGTTGTTAGATTGTTGGTAAGAATTACAAAACCTTTTTTCAAATAACAAAAGATTAGTTGTGTTTCCTGTAACATGACCTCATTTGATAATTATTCCATTTCATATCCCACCTCCAGATTTCTTACTACACATGAGTCAGTAATTAAATGAACAGTTAATTTTACTTTCAAATAAAGATGCTGTAATACTTGTGAATTAGACAGTGTGATTTGATGTACATGTATAATATATATATACATATAGTTTAGACATTTGTGTTTTTAGATATGAAGAAGCCCCTTGAACTTGTTGTTTAAGTTATTTACTCGGATACAATAAGAAAACAATAAACACGGAAGAAGCACTTTTGTTAATTGCCTAGGTGGAATTCTAAATTCTGAATCAAAACAAATCATTTTATAGAATTATAATTCAAATATTTTGTATAGGCCTTTTAATAGTTATGGTCCTGAATACAAAAATACTAATCAGAGTAAAAAAGAGATATTATCCATAAAACCACATAGTAAGACTGATAAAGGAAATGAGATAGTACTAATGAACTAATCATATAATAACTGAAAAAGTTGAAAGTGTATTGAATTCTACTATAAAATTTTAAAAAATACAGTGAGTTTCGGTCTGCTAATTTGGATAGTCTCAAAAAAATGAATAGGAAGTAATAATGGAGAGCTTATATACGGATCTGGGATAAGGGGCACATTGATGTAGATGGAGAGAATCCCAAGATTTAACTTTCTATGGGTAATATAGTGGTGTATAAAAGCTGGAGCAAGCAAGGTAAGATTCATACCAATGAGCAGAGAAGAGTAACTTTCATCAGGATAAAGCTATAGTGTGAATAGAGGTAAGTATTACTGGAAATACATTTTCGTTATATGAGAATGTTAACTTCAGGCAAATAAAATAACAACCAAGATCATTTATTTGGGATGCTTTTCCCTTGGTAGAAATTTGGGTGCCCTTCAAAAAACCTGAAACAATTTGTGTCTATATTTTGTGCTGATTGCACTGGACTAGTAAGAGATAATGTAAGTTGTCATGTAACTACACTTGTTATATTGTGGCTTACTATGGTACTTCTTATAAGTTTAAAAATGTATTTGACTTTTATAAATATATTAATTTTATGAAATGTCATTATGAATCAAACAATTGTTAGAATATCTACAAGATATTTTTATTGTTTTTGTTATAGCTTATTAAAAAAATATTGATCTAATTGTGCCCTGAAAAATATGCCATTAAGTAGTTGATTATGTTATTTATTTTTTCATAGTTGGTATCGGAGATTTGTAAATAAAAGAGTAAATGCTTAAAGATGTGTATATTTACATGTTGACGTTTACAATGTTTCAGTAAATCTACCACGAGTATTATATTTGTAGATTCTAATATCATAAATATAGGTTTGGATATTTTGTGTATTTCTTTTTTTGCTTGTCAGTGAAAAATGTAGCTCTGATCAAAACAAGAAAAATTTTAAAATATCTGTAATAAAATTTATATTTTAAAATATTCTCTGATTTCTTCTTTTACAAACTACACAACGTAAAAAAAATATAGTGATAGTAATAACAACCAACTGAAACTGTGAGAAATAGATAATCTGTTTTTTAGTGTATAAAAGAATACATCTCTTAGTAGTTAAATATTTATATGATAAATTAATAATTGTGTGCATGCATTGCCTGAAACTTTAGTACATAATACATATTCTTCAATTTTAAATTGCTTATTCAGGAAGTTCCAAAAAATGGTGGTTGTTTACTCTAATAAACTTCCTTGATTATAATTTTAATCATATTTCTGTAGTTACAGTTTTAATCTTAGTGATAATTCCTTAGGGAAAGCCTGAAGCTGGGCTGGGAGTTGATGGCTATTTGTTTGTCTTTCTTCCCACCATCTGTAAAATTTCAGCCTTACCTAGACAGCTACATCAGTCGCCATAAAGATGAGACAATCTTTGATACACCAGAGGTAAGCTCTCACAATTCACAAGAGGTAGAATAGGGTTTTTTGAAACTTTCAAGATTTGTGTTTTAAACAATGGTAATGATGAGGATAGCAGTGTAATGTGTTATAATAATAAAATACTAGTAGTTATTGATATTCAATTACCTGTAGTGGCATGAATTTTATGTGTTATATATAGAAAAGGAGAGAGATAATGCACACTTTTTTAAGATAATATGGCTTATCCCTTTGTTTTACTTTTTCTATAGCATTTATATTTTTACTGATTGATACTGTGTCCTTGTTTAGCTGTTTTCCCCCTTTTCCAATTAAATTTCTTTTATAACTATTTCATTCAAGTTTCATGTTTAAATCCCACTTTCTATCCCATTTTATGATATTATATTGGACACAAAGTGTCTGACTTGCCCTTGTTGATATATATTTGTATATTATGGAAGTCTCAAGGTCCCAGTGATCTTTGTTGAAAAAAGAAGGAAAGGATTGATGAGACTGTAAGAAAATATTTTGGGAGGTTATTAATACTAATGTTTGTAAGATCTGAGACCAGAAGGTTATTTAGATTGTAAGAAATGATCTTGGGAGATTATTGACACTAATGTTTGTAAGATCTGAGACCAGAAGGTTATTTAGATTGTAAGAAATGATCTTGGGAGATTATTGACACTAGTGTTTGTAAGATCTGAAACCAGAAGGTTATTTAAATTGTAAGAAATTATCTTGGGAGATTATTGACACTAATGTTTGTAAGATCTGAGACCAGAAGGTTATTCAGACTGTTAGAAATGATTGTTGGAGATTATTAACCCTCTCACCCTTGGTACTACTGCACATGACATAAGGTTTTAGTGTTTTATATTCAAAATTTTATTAAACTACTTTTTGTTTATATTATACCAATTAATATAATATGAAATCTTAGCTAATAACCCATATTTTAATAGGATATAAGTTTTAAGTTCTTAATTCAATGAGGCAATATTTAAAAAAATCCTGAATTTCCTTTAGTGTGACTCATGTGACACATTTTCTCTTGGTATCTTCTCATATCTATTTTATCCACCCCACCCCCAAGAAAATATGAAATTAATTGTAAATTACTCACTATAAAACTGCCATTGCTCAGACAAACCATAATTTTTATAGCCTTCAATTTTGTTTAGTTACAGAGCTATCAAATAGAAAATCAGACACCTCCTTCCACATCCACCTGTCACATCTTCTGTTTTAGGATTTGTTAATAGCTCTCTCTTACATTTAATTATATATTAGCTATAAACAATAGAAATTCAAGGTTTTCATCCATCAAATGGCATATTCTATTACGTTGTGTTCTGAATAGATAAGTTTAAATTTCACTTATAATACAACTTCGTTCCCACAGGAATCACAATGGCTAACTTGGATTAATTTGTAACAGCTCTTGTCACATAGTCAGAAAGCCAGTAAAATTGTGATTGTTAGAGGAAATTGTCTGCTTTTTTTATGTTATTGGTGTGTGTTCTTTGATGCATTATTTAATTGAATAAAAAGTATTTAATGCACTATTACCATTAGTATCAAAAAGTAGGGTTAAGTGTTATCGACAATCAACAGCAAGAAAAAAAGAAGATTGGTATGTAATTTATTTCTTATTTTTATATGTTTATTCTTTATTTATTGTTATAAAAGTAACTAAAATGTAAAAATAAATATCTCTTCAGGTTAGTTAAGATTAGGTTAGATAAAATAAACAATCATGTAATAAAAATGTTTCATGAGTCACACATGCAAGCAGCTCAGAGTATCTCGTGGGTAATGTAATAGGTAGTGTAATGTGAGCTGCATGTTCCCCAAGTGATTTACAACTTATAATGGCACGAATAGTAGTTAGACACAATTCAAAGGGCAATAAAACAATAAAGTTCAATTACAAATAGATGTATAATGTTATGAGTTTAAAGCTACCTAGGACAAACAAATGTCTGTTCTAGAAAGAAAAAGGGGGTAATTTTGAATTATTTAGATTTTTTTGGTGGGGGTGGAGGGTTACGAGGTCAGTCAAATTGAGAAACCTTGTATAGAGTTAGGATAGAGAAAATAAGAGATAGAATATAAAGTTTTACTGAAACAAACATTTGAAATGTATGTAGGATGTCTTAGAGATTACACAAATGAAATGTGAGATTTTTTAGATGAAGAAAAGTATTTTTAATCTTAACATGAAAATCACTTTGCACACTGATTATTCAAAAAATAATAATATATTCATGGACAAATCTTTATTTTAGTTTATTAAAAATACTTCACTAAAAATATGATTTTTTGTATGTGAAAGACTTGTAATGTTAACTGAAATACTGCCAAATTTTATTAAGATATACACAATATATTGAAAGTTAAAGTATTAAATCTTTAAAGAATTTAAACAAGTACAAAGAGATCAGTCAAATTGACCGAGCTGGTGTGGAGAAAGTTAACACTAATTTTAGTAAAAACTAAGACCATAGGGTTATTTAGACTGTAAGAAATGATTTTGGGAGATTATTAACACTAATGTTTGTAAGAACTGAGACCAGAGGACCATTGACACTAATGTTTGTAAGAACTGGGTCCAGAGGATCATTGACACTAATGTTTGTAAGAACTGGGTCCAGAGGATCATTGACACTAATGTTTGTAAGAACTGGGTCCAGAGAATCATTGACACTAATGTTTGTTAGAACTGAGACCAGAGGATCATTGACACTAATGTTTGTAAGAACTGGGTCCAGAGGATCATTGACACTAATGTTTGTAAGAACTGGGTCCAGAGGATCATTGACACTAATATTTTTAAGAAATGAGATCAGAAGCTTATTGGGACTGATATTTTGAAGAACTGAGATCAGAGGGTTATTGACACAAATTTTTGTAAGAATTGAGGTAAGAGAATTAGTGGAACTTAAAAAGTGATTTCAGGTCATTCTATTTAATTTATTGAATGACAGTGACAGTTCTTGCTTTAGTATTTATTGAATATTAAACCATGCTTAACATAACTTTATTATTTGTATTGATTTATTTTAAGGAAAATACTTTTTTGCATGTCTTTGATGACTTGTGTTTAAATTATATGCACACATGATGAACAAAATTCATTTAGTTGGATTCTATTTTTGTAGATATAGTGAGTGGCAACTAATTTGTCTATTTAACCAGTTGCTTTGAGGTATATCTGAAAGTGCAGGAATCAATCACAAACATACAGTTTAGGAGTAATTAAACAATATCAAAAATCTTATGTGAATCTTATAGTGGCTGAAGTTGAATTACTTAGAAAACTATACTTGTTGAATTTTATTGAAAAAATAGGAAGTCCTAAAAAAAAGTATTAAAATTAACTGAGGATTTTAAAAATCGAACTTGTAAAAGTTGGATTATCAAACACCAAAAATTTACTCTTTATGCTTTTAGACATGAAACTGATTTAATTATTTTTGAGAATTTCACAGAATTATTTAAAGAAACATTCAAAATGCACCAGATATAAAACAAATTCACTAAGCTCTGAGGGCTGTGCCATATTCAGTATTAAACAGCTTTTAGGTTATAACAGTTAAGACACTGATATCATTAGAGTGCTCATTTTCTTGATTTCATCATCATCATCATCATAGACAGCAGTACATCGATAATTCTACCGATGCTTAGCTGCCACACAATCATGAATTATTATTACAAGAATTATTACATGATTTAATCATGTTCAGTATAAAAAGCCTTTTGGATGTGTCAGTGTACTAGTTAAGACATTGATATCATTGTTTTTTACATTATACGTATTATTTTGCTATATTGTTTATCACGAAGAACAAGATTCATTCTTTCTGCATGAAGAAAAACAAACCACCCTATATGTAATGCTTGGTGATGGCTTGAATGGGTAATGAAGAAAAAACTTTAATATAAGTTTAACAAAACAGCAAATGTACAACATTTCGACAAGGTTTTGTCATCATCAGGTTCCCTATATGTATTAAGAAATACAAATTTATGTGATTTAGAACAAAACACCAAGTAAATAATAAGTAACTTTCAATGATATCAAGTATTAGAAAGGTGAAAATTGAGCTTTAATAAGAAGCCTAAATGTATTAATACAAGAAAATTGATCACTTTGTAGTATTGGTTTAATAGTTTTGATCACCATTAATTAAGTAGTAAATCATCTAAATTTGAACAACATATCTTAAATCATAATTAATAGATTTTGGTGAAATTGTACAGTTGCAGAAGTTGCTTGTTTATTCATTTTTCTAATTCATTACTTTTGGTTTTAGCTAAAAATCAGTCATTATGCTGCCATCTGTAGCAAGAGGTTGGAACGAATTGGACAAAATGGAGCCAAGAAGGGGTTAAGAAAAGCAACAGTTGAAAAAATAGAACAGTCTAGGGTGAGTAGAACAGCTTATGAACTTCAAAGAAGTTTATTCAACACTTTTTTTTTCAACAATTAATTGACCTCAAGCAATATTATTAAGAGCATTGCAGTAATCTGACTCTTGTTTATACTGGATTTCATATTATTGGTAGATGACAACTCTCACTTTATAGCAGGACATATAGAACTTTAAAAAATACAAGAAGATACCAGAAACACTTAGAAAATAAAAAGATTTTATTTTAAGCAACAATACAAAGTTTACAAAATATTGTTACTAAATTTTGCATCACCAAGTCTTATGGTTTATAATGTCTAAGCTGGTGAAGTACAATATATTAGTTGGTTTTAAGGCTTCCAGTTAGAAAAGTGTATAACAGTGCTTCAGGTACCTTCGCTATTGTACAGTGTTGCTGACAAAGTTATTCTCACTGTATCAAAGCTCATCTGACCATTTGTGTTACAGCATGCAAAGTTTTAGTTGAAAACTCATATTTATATTAGCCATTAATGATTCTTTAGTTGGTAATAGACATGATATTACATCAGAAAAAAGCTGATAATAATTAGGATCATATATGTTAAAAATTAAAGTAATGTTTCTTAAGGCTGCTCATTTCTAATCCATATTCTTTTCTCTATTGATCACTTGTCGACCATGTAGTAATGAGTTAAAGCACAGAAGAATTTGCTGCAAGATTTCCTAGACATTTATCAATCTAAAAGTTTCATATGTGTATGTGATGCTTTTCTTCAATTAAACATAAATACAGGTGTCATTAAATTTTATGAGCAATGTAGACTAGCTATTATCTGCTATTTTTTATAAGTTAAACCTAAATCAACAACAGTTAATGAATGTAAAAATGAAGTTTACCTTATAGTTTCATTTACTGGCAGAAATTTGGAACTGATTAAATTAGAATCTGTAGTCAGAGACAATTTTGTACAGTACTTATTATCTAATATTTGCAAAATCAAACACCAAACTATTTAACTATTCTTTCAGGGGGGCCATATGCAGTAGAATTTTTAATTACAATAAAGTTTTTAGATAACCATTGAGGAGTTATATAACCTTTTACTCTCTCATTGCAAATATAATTCTATCTTATCTCATTGACCACATTTTCACTGGTAATCTTTATATTATAACTAATGGAGATTTGTTAATAGTAATGAGTAAAGATCCTAAATTTCAGGAATGCTATAAAATTAATTGAAAATGTAACAAACAAGTAATTAGTAATTCATTCTGTATAGTTTTACTTAAATGGAATAAAAAAGATAATGTAAAAGTAATTATATTTAGAAAATGGGTAAATAAATTAAGGACATAACTTATAAATACATAACATTAAAGAAATTCTCTACTAACAACGATGAACATGCTGTGGACCAACTCCATGCATATTCAGTTCACTGTGTGGTTACAGTTTAGGCTCATTGGGCCTAGCCTGTATGGAGAACGATACGAGTTCAACAATCATATGGTAACTGAAATTTTTTAACATATCTTTACAACAATTGGAAAGATTTTGTTAAATATTACAAGTATTTTGTACACAAAGAATGATATTATTTCAGTTAAATATTTCAACTAATAATTTGTTATTTTTGTATTCTAGTTATTTGCATTCAGACTCTGAATATATCAAGTATTACTATCAATGTATAGTGCAATGAAATATTTAAAATTAAGAAATATAAAAAATGTACATAACTTTTAATTTTTTGTCAAACAGTCTTAACTTTCAGCACAGGCTTGATCCCTGGGATCCGTAGTTATCAAACGTTTCTTAAGAAAAAAACTTTATATTTTATCTGTTATTTTCAGTAATGAATCTTTATGTAGGTTTGGTAGATTTGACTGATCTCGTAACCACGTTAAAAAATTACAAAATAAATATAAATTATGCCTCTTTCATTCTAGAATGAACACAAATTATAACACGAAAACATAAATGTTTAGACTCAATAGCTTAAATCTCATAACATTATACATTTATATATATTTATCATTTTTATTATATTCAGCTGTGCCTGGCTAACAAAGCAGAAGTTACAATGACGCGGCACACGTGCTCTCATGTTACTGTACCCAATAACATAAAACTAACCTTTGGTCTGTACAAACTAACTTGTCTTGGCTGTGTTTTAGTAGACTAGTATTTTGTAAAATACAGTTACATTTCAATTAATATACTCTCCATTGGCTCAGTGGTATGTCTGCGGACTTACAATACTAGAAACCGGGTTTCAATACCCGTGATGGGCAGAGCACAGATAGCCCATTGTGTAGGTTTGTGCTTAACTTCAAACCAACAAACAATCAAGTATTATACATTATATATGTATATAGATCATTGCTACCTTGAAATATGTTCTTAAACTCATTTTTCTGAAAACATAGAACAGTGAATAGAGAAGTAAAACAAACAATTATCTCTTCAAGCTACGACCTTTGTACTTGGTTACTACTTGACGTATGTTGCTAAGCGTTTAAAAATTTTGCACCTGGAGGATATGAAACAAAATAATTTTTGGGGGGTTTATATATACATTTGAATAACTAAAAAATAATAAATTACTACATCAATACCATAGAATTCTACTATAATTTATTAAGCTTAGTAACTAGGATGTATTTTAGTCTAAAAGAACATGAAATTTCAACCCGACTAAAGACACACCCTACCTCCTTGAAATATTGGTTCAAAAGAAAGAAATGGTGTCCAAACCCGTTAAAATGGCTAAGAAAGCCACTAGGGAGACATTCTGAGCTTCTGATTGGTTATTCATGTCATATATAGAAGCAAGTATATACAAGGGAGCATTTCCAAAAATGGAAAGAGGTGGGTGGGGGCCACTGTGTTATTCAGTACATGAGAGATATCTCAGCAAATAGAAAATATAGGAGGTTCTTATTTTATATTCTAGTTTGTCAATATCAGTAATTTGTGTTTCTGATTTGTATAAAATTATAGACTTAGTATTTTGACTTCACAAACATCTACTTTGAACTAGTGCTGCATTCAACATACCACGTGGCACACAAAAATCGATGTTTATCTGTGTTTTTTAATAATTACTTTGAAATTAAGAAATTAACTAATGTGTAGTACAAAAATTTGAATTATAATCTATAGTTTCATACCAAACTTATTGACATAAGTTCATGAAATAGTTATGAGTCAACAAACAAGATGACATGGCCTTTCACCCATGACTCGTCTCGAAAGGGTTAAAAGATCTTCTGTAGATTATATTCTTAATTACAAGTCTTTACATTTTCACATATAGTTTATTTTTAATGTTTAGTTTTCCGTTTCTGTCCTTTAGTGTTATTATTTATTGCAACACACATCAATGGGCATTCTTGGGCAATATTACAGTATCGTTGGCAGAGATACTTTAGCCTCTGGCAGAATATTGTTGTGCTCACCAACTACACTAAGCCTCATGAACTGAGGCAAAATTTGGGTTATATTTTAAAAGAATATTATACCTTTTCAAATGCATTTTAAGACATAATTAACTGAAATGTAAAACTAAAACCTTTAGTGTATATAACTAAAATATTTTTAGGTGAGAAACAATGTTAAGTGCTATTGAGGACAAAAGTGGCAACAATGTTACAAGCAATTTGATGTACTTTGTAAGGAATTCTGCATGACAATTTTAAAATAACCATTAGGAGATTGTAGTTTAAAATGAGGTCTTTCTATTGGTTATAAACATCTAGCTCAAGTAAGTACAATTATCTGCAAAATTGCAAGTCTATATCTAGAAAGTGGATGTGGCTTTTGTCAAGAGCTTCCAAGAGATTTATTTCTCCTCTCTCAGAAGTTGCCCTAAGGAATTTGAAAGAAGGATGTGTAAGGAGAGAAATTAGCCTTGTTTCTATCTGGACATAGATGTCTAGTGTAAGTAAAGGATCAAAGTTAAGAGTTGTAAATGCTTGTGCATCACAGGAAAACAAAACTAGTCTCCGAAAGTTTCATGATGAAGCTATTTTAAGCCCCTAAATCACATTGTAATATTTTCTCCCTGTTACAACATATAGTATAACAAGCCGACAAAAAAAACATCAAGTGAAATCACTTACTTTCTGTGAAAATACTTAGGTAACCCCAGCAGTAATTGGTGGGATTAAGTGAAATGTTTATGTTCTTTTGTGTGTGTGTGTGTGTGTGTGTGTGTGTGACTCAAATGTTTAACATTAAGGATCTTGTAACCAGTAAAGTCATAGATCCATGAACAATTTAGTTCATAAATAGCTGTAGAAAAAGATTTTAAAAATTTGATGGGCACATATGTATTTTTGTGTTTAAATGTAATTCATAATTATAAGTACTGTCTAATTATAAAAATTGCTTTGACAAACATCTTTGGAAGTGAGTATGGTTATATTATAAATTTTGTCATCATAGTAGAATCATTAAGTTTTAAAATGCAAAGCTAGGTTTCTGGCAACCTGATTATTACAAGTTTATCTTAACAGTACAAGTTTTTCTTAACATATTTCTAGTTTCAAACATATTTTCAGTTATTTTATATTTACTTTGATTATTTTATCAATCCATTGAGTTACATGAACAAAGAAATGATGGACCAGGATCTAGGATTATTTTCTAAAATGTCTTACCTATTGAATTGGAGGTTACGTTATTTTCTGTTCAATTCTTAAATTCAAATAAATCAACTGTACCAGTAATAAAGAAAATGTTTTTTTTTTAAAGTAATCTACCTTATAGATGTAAAAGTTGATTTATTTAAATACCTGAACACATTTCTGTCATTGGAAATGAAAATAGTAAAATAAGACAAACAACACTATTTTGTTCTTCTTGTGTTTAACATTCTAGGTCTAATACACAATGTTTTGAACAATGATAATATGGAATTATGAAACAGAAAAAGGAAAAATTTTCAATTCTGCACCTTCTTTAATTCATTCTTAACAGAGTGGATTTACAACAATAAAAAAATGTATGATTGTTGAAAGTCCATTTCTACTATGAACCAGAATGACAACTCATGTTATGGTAACTTTAAACTCAATGGAAGATATTTTTTTTATTTTAGCAAGTAGTGATAACTATTAAAATGATCTTTAGCTGCAACATTTAACCCTTTGACCACACTCACCCTTTAAACCCCTTTCTGTGCATGTCATGAGATTTTACTGTGTTAAATTCAAAATTGAATTAAACCACTTTACTAAGTATTTTAATGAAATTACTAGTATCAAGTACATTATAATTTAAGGTTTTATATTATCTAAGTTTTACTCCTTTATTTTAAAAAGAAAAATCTAAAATAGCAATTAAAACTGCAGTTTTTTGCTATCACGTGATCCACTGTGGTTAAAATTCTCAAGTTTAAGAGGTTGTACACAAGAAACTATGAGTTCCTAATATAGACTGTCAGCATAGACGGTCAAAGTACATTTCCAGCTGTCTCTCATTAACATGAAACAACATTCTAATATTTCTAAGTTAGGGTCAGCCACGCCCTCTTGCAGAGTCAAAGCTGTGTTGTCAAGTGACACTTTGAAGTTGAATGGCATGTTTATAACCAATAGAAAGAGCATATTTTGCACTATTCAGTTATAGCCTGAAGTAACCTCTAACTGTTATGGATATGTAGTATGAAATAGAAAATAAGCTTAGTCATTGTTCTCTTGAGGGGTATGTAATGTTTGGCAAGTGTTTCTCGCCTTATGTGTATTAGTTTGCTAAACAGATTGCATTTAGGTTTTACATTTATATCTTAATTAATTATGTATTATTTGTGTTTTAAAATGCATATTTGAAACGTTTATGATTTTTATATGTTTAACTAGTTTTAGTTTGGCTTGCCAAAATGTCTAAGCAAGATGGCATCATTTGCATGTGCGAGTGTAGGTGTTTTGAATTTGTGCACGAGAGTCACCCTATAATAACAACAGAGCACCATAGGGACATGTTGGCAGTGTTGCCATCATGAATAAAAGACAAAGAATTGGAAAGGAAAATTAAAAATAAACTACAAGTGAAAAGATAAAGAAGTGAAATTATGCATATGACAAAAAAGAAGTTTTAAAACTATTCTACAAAAATTTAAAAGGTATGTACTTACTTCCATTACTTGATTTTAAAAATTTCATTGCACTGTACGTTGATGATGATACATGTAGTTAATGATATAATAGAGAAAATGGAAAACAAAATATAAACATTTAACTTAAAAACTTTTGATATTCCACAATTTCTGCAGATTATTCAGTCCAAGTTCCTGATTCTAGTAAATATCATGCTCAAGTCTTAATGCAAATGAAATGTGAAAACTGTGAAATAAGAAATAGTATTTTTATACTCAAAATGAAAACCACATTGCATGTTAACTATTCAGAGTGCAAATAACTACATTAAATAATGATTGTTTTATTATAAATGGTAGAAAAAATCAATTAAATATTTTGTTTTTTCTAAAACTACATAATCTTATGACTATTCAAGTCAAATTTAAAACTTTCATCAACTAGTTTCATTTTTGTAAAGAACTTTCACAAGAGTCATATACCTACTTACAAAAAAAGTATGTCATAGTCATAGATTTCAGTGGAGTTTGCTTCTCATATGAAAGACTATTAATAGGAATGGAATTGAAAGGGGTGTATGTCAACTTTACACAGCTTAGAAAGTTGTAATACTACTCCTTTGATAAGGTATGAAACTCAGCTAGGCCTCCTTTCAGTCCATTTGATGGAAACCTGCCTGCTCTAAATGCTTTTTAATTATTTGCAGTGCATGAATTAAAAAATGATAATAATTTCCTCCTTCCTTCACACTTATTTTCATTTGTTTTTTGTGTATTTCAAGAAACACAATTACATATATAATGCCCCCCCCCCAAATGATAAGAATTTCCTCCTTCCTGCACACTTATTTTCATGTTTTGTATGTATTTAAAGAAACACAATTACATATATAATGCCCCCCCAAATGATGATAATTTCCTCCTTCCTGCACACTTATTTTCATTTGTTTTGTATGTATTTAAAGAAACACAATTACATATATAGTGCCCCCCCCCCCAAATGATGATAATTTCCTCCTTCCTGCACTCTTATTTTCATTTCTTTTTTGTGTGTTTCAATAAACACAATTACATATATAATGCCCCCCACCCCAACCCCCCCAGTGGCGCAGTGGTGGACAGAGCACAGATAGCCCTTTGTGTAGCTTTGTGCTTAACTACAAACAAACATTTATAATGTATTTTCTTTATTCTTAATAAAGATTTATCATTTATTTATTTTTGAATAAGTACATAATCTAAAAGAAATATATTTTTTTGTTGTTGCTAGTTACAAATTTTCAGGCCTTCAATGTTTGGTAACACATTGGAAGAAGTAATGGCATTACAAAAAGATCTCTATCCAAATCGAAGATTACCCTGGATCCAGACAACCCTTTCTGAAAGTGTTCTACATTTGAGTGGCTCTCAAACAGAAGGCATCTTCAGGTAAGCATCTTAAAATTATGTTTGTTATTGAAACTTTAAGTCAAAAACTTATTCATTAACTTTTTTAGATATTTAAGTAGCTTTTCAAAACTTTCTTTGCAGATTAAATAACTTTTTTCTTGTTTACTTCAAAGAATCAACACTTGTTATTTTTCTGGAATTTTGTAATTATCATTTAATCGAAAAAGGCTATGTTAAATAAAAAAAACCTACTAAAACAAATTAAAATGTTCATGAAGTTTTCCAACTTTTTTTTACAATGAGTTTTAATTATAAAGAAAATGAAATTAATTTTAAACTGGCTACTTAAACTAGATTAAGTGTTGAACCGAAACCTGGACTACGTCAACAAATTTCTAGTCCTAATACCACATTTACACTGTGTTTATTGTCATGTGTGCTAGAATAAAAACAGTGGGTCACATCAGTAAATGTGAATACAAAAAACATTTACTGAAATATAGATGTATCAATGAAATGTTCTGATATCTTTTTGCCCATGAAGTATCTCTTCTGATATAATTTTTTATAAGAATTTGTACTTTATACAAAAGAAATTTAATAAGACTTAATTCTAAAAATTAGGCATTCATGAAACCTTTCTAAAAGTGTTATTTTGAGTATGTTTCAAGGAATGAAATGTAGTTACCATAAAAACTGTAATTTTATTCTAAATGATTGAAGGTGTAGCAGTGGTGACAAATTTACAAGAGTTGCAAGAAAAATACTTACCAGTCAACTGTAAAGAAATCTATGCTATATATATAAAAATAAATCAATACTATGCAATACATTAATTGTCCATAAGTGATTAAAGTCAGCACTATAAAACAATAATGAACTTAATATAAACCAGAAATAACATAATAAAACTGAAACTCAAAACCATGCCTCCGCTACCATTCCTTACTGTTGTCCTTAAGTCATAAAGGATAAGGCTTGTGGTCATAGAACCCAAACGTGCTGGTGATATTACATCTATCAGGCAAAATCCAAACGCTGATGAAAAACTTGCCAGCAACTAAGAATAATCAGTTAAGAGTTTGAAGTTAAGTGCTTGAATCCACAACGTCTCAACTCCAACTGACTTTTGCTGTCTACAGCCAGATGTGGGAAGGCAGTAACCGTAAATATTTAGAAATAACTTTAATGTAGAATTAAATAAACCCAATAAAAATTCTACAAAGTAAAACTCCCAACCTCCATCCTTTTAATTGATGTTATAAATAATAATCATATAATATTTTTATAGTAGAACTAAGCCACCCTTAATTGACACAGAACTCCCAACCTCCACCCTTTTGTTTGATATTATAAAAGACATTAACCAAAATAAGAGACCCTTACCATTCAAGTGTAAACCAGGTTATCTGAGACAAGTCCAGCTACCTGAAGTTGATCTTTCCATCCTGATGTACATAACTATTCTAAAAGTGACAATTAGCTACTTAAACCAAGTAACTAACGCCCTCTAAATTTTCCATATTGCATTCTCCATGAATGAATCAAGCTTAACCCTTAATATATTTTAATATATATTATACAAAAGTAAAAAAAAAAAAAAA